CGTCAGCTTTCCTGCTCCTATGATGCTGCTTGGCCTGCTGTGTTCATCCAGCTCTACACCTTGTTATCTCAGATTCTCCAGCATCTGCAGTTCCTACTATCTTTGATAATGCTGGATCTGATTCAATTCTGGATACATCGTGCTGGTATTTATGTTTAGTCAAATATGTGCTAGGTTTGCATTATTTTGAGCAAAAGACTACAAAGGAGGAAAATTCAGAATGCTTGGATTGTTTTTGCATAACCTATTGGTGGTCAGACTGGGAGACCTAGGTACAGATCAAATTGTAAAACAAAGGTGATGTTTTTGATGTTGAGAATTAGAATTAAAAGTAGGCATATTGTCACATGTCCTCACATGAGTGCAATGCAAAATTTGCAAAGTCGCCACTTACAGTGTCATCTTAGGTAGAAAGGTCTCCTCCCCTCCAGACCACAGCGGGGCCTCCCCTCCAGACTGTGCTGGGACCTCACGTCCAGACTGCACCGGGGCCTCGCCTCCAGTCTGCATCAAATGCAGTGTTACACTGCACAAAGGACGCAGCCCTGCTCCGGCCACAGCCACAGACGTCGACTCATTGACTTCCCGAGTCCAGGCTCTGAGCCTACGGAGGCCTCAATCTGGGTATTGCAACTGCTGTTGCTGACGACCCCCTGACACCACTCCAGCTTCCCCATGGCGTCAGATTATGAAAGAAATGGAAAGAGAAAGAAAAAGACAGTAAAGGAGAGAGACAGAGAGAGAGAAGGATATGGCCAGCCTAGAGCATATAAATTCAGGAGCTTTCACACTCCCTACCATGTTGGCGCCACCATCTTGGAAAGGTAAATAGCAGAAAATCTTGAATTTTTGTGGCTTTACCATTACTGAGGTATAAGGCCACAATGAATAAAGCAGATCCTCATATTGACAGGAATGAAATGCAGGGGTTTCTCAAGAGATGAGACCTAACTTCACAAAACATTTTTTTTGGTGTCCCCATTTCTCTTTAACATCTAGTCATTTCAGGTGCTGACCTATGTCTGCAGCTCTGTGACATTCAATTTGTGGATATTTGTTGTGATTTAAACATTGGGACCAGGATTTTCATTTGCAAGTCAGGTGCGCAAAGTCAGGACTACTTCTGGCTCCTCGAAGCAGACTTTTAAAAATGGCTGCCCGGACATCAGATTTTCGGTCTGTGAGGCCTGGCCATAAACAGCAGTAGTGGGAATGTTTCTGGGTGAGGAGGTGAGTTACGTAGCAGGTTTTGGGGTTCAGCACTATGAGCAGAAGTTAAAAAGAAAACCCATTCCTACAGGCTTCTCAGCCCCTCCGACACACTGCCCAGGTCCCATCCATGCTAACTCATGCCCTGCACTCAAACCCCTTATTCTCTCCTAGCCACCTTTATATCTCTTGTTTCCATCTTCCATAATTCTCCATACCCTCCATGTCAACCTACATTCCTGTACCACCTCAATGACCCTTTATTAATCATGTCAGTTTAGTGCCAACTCATGCCAAACCATGCTCCCCACCCTGTGCTGTTAGACTCAACATCCAAACTCACCTAGTATCCACCATAAGCAGACCTCAGGAGTCCTGCAGATATGAAATCTCTATTAGAAAAAAAAGATTTCATTCAGAAAAAAAAAAGTCACATTTGTGTTTCTTCAACCATATAAAGCCTTATCACCACAAAGATTTACAACAAAATTTCATTCAAGTGCCTTCCCCTATGAAAACAAGCTTTGGAATTCATAGTCCCATTCCAACGAATCTTTAACCACTTACAGCAGTCAAACTATGAAATGGTGATGAAGCTTCAGGCCTGGGTCTTACTGCTGACTTTAAATTTCTTCTCCTGCACAAATTTCAAGAATATTGGAACAGGGAACAGCTGACAGCAGTAGCTGCTAGGGAATGCACTGTTTTTGGAACTGCTGCTGACTGCGTCATCCAGATTGAAATTGAAATGGGATCCAGCCAAAAAGTAAACCTGAGGGAGAATATCAGTCATGCATAAACTAATTCCCAACTGTTTTATACATAAACAGGGATGTCAATTTCTAGTCTTGCACACAATTTTATGTAATATGTTTTGAATAATAAAAAGACCTTGCATTTATATTTACCTATATCTAATGATACTAATTAATAATCTATCCTTATTGTGCCCACATCCAATTGTGCTTCTGATATATTGCTGTTTTCATTGTATTTTCAGTAGTTTGATCTTGTTGACTTTGCAGAAATACCTCTGATTTAAACCGCTATGAGCACTAATTTTGAATTTATAGATCTGTTCATAAGTCGCGCTTGTCTAATATTCCCTGTGTGTTAAATAATGTCTTTAACATCTGCACAGTTTTGGGTTCACTCTTACAATTTATTGAGATTTCAAATGTTTGTATTTGGCATTCTTAATCTGTTTCCTAACCTCCCCTAGGTTGGGACGACGCTATATACTGTGGTTCACAAGCACAGCTCAGTTTGTATTTGGAGTTGCTGTTGCATTCACCAATGATTATTACAGCTTCATTGTTGTCCGTTTCCTTCTAGCCCTGGTATGTATTGAACTGCATATATTTCTGTTTCCTTTTACTAGGTATTAGGGCATCAGCTATTTTAGGTAAAGGTTTGATCCACACGTCTGATTCGGACAGTGTTAAATGTTTCAGTTGTAGATCCCATCAATGAGTTGGAGAAGCAATGGGAAGCCCATATTACTTCTCTGGGGAAGGGTCTGAGGTTCTGAGGAAGGGTCGCTGGACCCGAAACGTTAACTGTTTATTCCTTCGCAGATGCTGCCCGACCTGCTGAGCTTTTCCAGCAACTTTGTTTTTGTTCCTGATTTACAGCAACCGCAGTTCTCTTGGTTTTTACTTCTCTGGGACTTGCCAGTCTGAATTAGATATTTTCTCAGACACTTACTTGGCAAGCACCGAACCCTCCCCATGATTTTGCACAGCAGCAAAGTACAGTGGCTCAGTAGTCAGCATTGCTGCCTCATTGCTGCGCCAAGGGCACGGGTTCGATTCCAGCCTCGGGCCACTGTCTGTGTGGAGTTTGCACATTCTCCCCGTGTCTGCGTGGGTTTCCTCCCAGGTGTTCCGGTTTCATCCCACAGTCCAAAGATTTGCAGGCTAGGTGGATTGGCTATGCTAAATTACCCATAGTGTTTAGGATGTGTAGATAAGGTGGGTTATAGGGGAGTGGTTATGGGTGGGATGCTCTGAGGGTCACTGTGGATTTATTGGGCCGAAGGGCCTGTTTCCACACTGTAGGGATTCTATGATCTATTGAAATGCTGGAAATCTGAAATAAAAACAATACATGTTGGAGAAACTCAGCAGGACAGGCAGCATCTGTTGAGAGAGAGTGAGTTAATGTTTCATATCCAAATAGCTCTTCTCAGAACTTATAACCCTAGCTGTGGAAATCCTGCACTCCTGGAGCTTTGTGCTGCAGGGAGTTTGCCAAGGCTTGTCTTTGAATCCCTGGATTCATGGAATAGAGGGAGCAGGGAGGTTCAGGGACAGGGGCAGGGTGTGGCATTCAGCAGTTTCTCTTCCTCCACCCCCATCCTTGCCCATTGCTTTGTCCCTGGACTGTACATAGTATCTAGCATGAAGTGACCCCTTCCATCCTGATAGGGTTTATTGGTCAGTCTTTGGGATTGTGAATGAAGGAGATTTGGAGTCCACTAAAGGTGAAGATCAAGCATGGCCACAGAAAACATAGAATTTTCAGTAGGATGAAGTTGGCACATAGGGTGTAAGGGACATGGAATATTATAGAGTTTGAAGTGTGTAATTTAGCATTGGATGGGAAAAGGAAATTTAAATCTTTTGATTTGAATATAATGCCAAAGTTGTGTGCAATGTGACTCAACATCAGCAAGCAACTAAAACAGCAGAACTGTTAATGGCAAGGATGCAGAGTGTTTTTGTAGGGCCCGAAAACCATTCCCTTGATCTTCATGAAGTTCAATTTAGTTTTAGCTTCAGATCTTATGACAATCTACATTCTTGTATCCTTTACCTTTTTTTGTAGGCAGTAACCAAATTTTATGATACAGCTACATAAGTGCTGGAACCTCTGAGAATTTATCCAAGTGCAGTTCTTCAATTTGATTTGTTCCCTAGGCTGTCCTGAATTATCTTATTTCAGACAAGGATGCATAACGAATCTTGGGTTAGGAACCCAGGCGTCCATAGTCTGTTGAAGTAGCTGAATACAACGGAAATCTTTGTTTGATTAACGTTATTCTCCACTGTTCAATGTGTGTTCACACAAGACTGAGAGATGTCAAATGCTTGTGGTTTCTGCTATTGTAACTTTTAAAATTCAGGTTGATTGACACTTTTTTAGGGTCATGATGTATATAGTTTTCTTCAGCAATTTATGAATGAATTGTTTTAAAGCGTTTTCATACATGGACATTGTAAATGTAGACTAAAACGAAAGCACAATACTGTGGGTGCTAGAAATGCTAGAAAAACTCAGCAGATCTGGCAACATCCATGGAGAGAGAATCCGAGTTAACATTTATGGACCGCTGCCTCTTCTCCACTGGAAAAAAAAGGTTGCATTGATCTTCACCTGGAAGTGCTGAGTGGTTGACCTCTCCTTGAGATCCCAACATCATGCATGCCAGTCTTCAACCAATTCAATTTACTCCATGTCCAATAAAGAAATGACTGAAGGCACCGGATACTGCAAAGGCTATGGTCCCTGACAACATTCTAGCAATAGTACTGAAAACTGTTCCAGAACTAGCCACAATCCCAGTCAAGCTGTTCCAATACAGTTATAACATTGGCATCAACCCAACAGCATGGAAGATTGCCTAGGAATGTCCACAAAAAGGAGGACACACACAACCTGTCCAGTTACCATCCTATCAGTCTAATCTTGATCATGACCAAAGTGATGGGAGGTGTTACCAATTGTGCAGTCAAGCTGCACTTGCTTAGCAATAACCTATTCACTGATGCTCAGCTTAAATTCTGCCAGAGCCAATCAGCACCTGACCTTATTACAGCTGTGGTAAAAACGTGAACAGTAGTGCTGAACTTCGAAAGAGAATTGAGGACCACTGCCCTTGACATCCAGGCAGCATTTGAACTGGCTGTAGCATGAAGGTCTCGTTGTCAAATCTGAAGAAAAATATTCCATTATGAAGTTTTGGTGACATCGCTGAGAAATCCATGGGATCAGTTTCAATTGCAATTTCTGTTTCTGTGCAAGACATTGAAAAGTAGCAGTCTGTTGCCCATATTTGCCTCATGTTAAAATTGGAATATTAGAATACAAGATATACCTACCTTAGCACAGTCTAAACCTTTTTATTGTCAATACATTTTGCATGTTCATTTCAGTTTTTATTTGTGATAAAGTACTTATTCATTGCTGACTAAGGAACCTTGGTTAACTTGTTTCTAACATTAAACCAGATACAGTCTAAAATCTAGATAATGGCAAAATCATTGCGTTGGTTAAATTTAAAGTTTGTTATGATTAGTGGAGGAGTGAAACTAGAAAGAAATCAGTGCACTCCTCCAGCTGCAGTTGCAACAGCTAAGTGGCAAATAACGTTCATTCCACATAACTGCCAACCAGTGACTATCTCAAATAAGAGAGTATCCAATCATCTCCCTTTGTTCTTCATTCACATTATCATCACTGTCCCCACTGTTAACATTCTGGGGTTATCATTGCCCAGAAACTGAACTGGACTATATACTGTGGCTATAAGAGCAGGTCAGCGTCTTGGAATTCTGTGATGAGTAATTCATCTCTTCAACCCTAAAGTTTGCTCACAGTTTACAAGGCATATATTAAGATTATAATGGGATACTTTCCACTTGCCTTCATGAGTGCAGCTCTAGCAACAATTTTTAACTTGACACCATCCAGGAGAAAAGAGCCCACTTGATGGGCACCCCCATCAAATACCGTCAACATCCTTTTGTACACTAGAAGGTACACCAGAACAGAGTCCATATCCACATTTTTTAGTGAGAGCTTAATTTCAGTCAACCACATTTCCACAAAACTCATACCACACTGACTACAAACTCCCCATTTGCATATAACCAATTTACACCCAATTAACAATTAAATATATCCATCATCTGTTACCTCATTCCATTATATCTTGGGCATCTTTCAGACTTCTAGTTGATAACAAGTTTCCCCTTTTTATATTTAAATATATATATAAATGAATAAAGAAAACAAAGAAGACAATATATTCTAGTTCTTTTTCTTTCCACAGGAAAATTGCATCATCCTTTTCCCAGTATATCTAACAGTTCTTTGAATAAAACAACCCAATGCAGTTTCAAGGTTTCTCCATTCTCTAACATCTCTTTAAAACTGCAATATCGATTGTCAGTTTTTTTTTCCATTCACACATTTTGTTGAGTGTATGTTATCCCACAGTGATTTATCACATAGTGACTTGGAACTATATCTCAGTTCCTTCATTGTCACTGGGTCAAGATCCTGACACTCCCTCAATCACCAGCATTGTGGGTGTACCTATGCCATGTGGACAACAGCAGATCAAAAAGACACCTCAACCCCATCTTATTATGGATGGGCGATAAATGTCTAGCCAATGATGTCCATGTCCCATGACCAAATACATAAGGAAAATATAGGGGAAAATAAAATGTACAACAGACGGGTTCTCATGCAACCTGTTCCCATCCAATAAGTTAGATTAAAGTTGCCCACTTTGTGTAAAATGCCTTTGCAACCACAGAACCTCTTCATTGCTAATTTTGGCTATATTTGCCTTTCATATCATAATACAGCAAACTAGGTTAATAAGCTACACTTTCAAGAGCTGAACATGGTGATGTATTTATTGGCATTAGTTTTAAAGAAGAATGAAAGAACTTGTTGAATTATGTGTAATTCTTACTTTTCTTTGCGTTTTAAACAGGTTTCTAGTGGCTACCTTGTGGTTGTTTTTGTCTATGTGACAGAATATACTGGATTGAAGGCCCGCAGTTGGGCATCTATGCATGTCCATGCTTACTTTGCTGTTGGCATCATGGTAGTTGCCTTGGTTGGATTCCTGGTTCGAGCCTGGCGATTCTACCAACTCGTTTTATCGCTTGTGACAATACCGTTTATATTTTGCTGCTGGCTATTGCCGGAGACACCCTGGTGGCTTCTGGCTAAAGGACAGTTTGAAGAAGTCCAGAAACTGATTGACGCAATTGCTCGATGGAACAAAGTAAAGATCCCTTGTCATGTCTCTGTAATGCAGATGAATAGTCCGGAGGATTCAACAGACAAAGAAATTGCAGTAAAGAAGAGTGAGGTCAAAGAAGACAAAACCAGTATCCTAGATCTTTTCCGTACATGGAATTTGGCTAAGAGGACCATCACAATTTGGCTTGTGTGGTTCACTGGGAGTCTGGGCTATTATGTTAGCTCTTTGGGTTCTGTCAATCTGGGTGGAAATGAATATCTGAATCTTTTTCTGGCAGGTAAGAAAATGTTTGCATACACCTTGCTAATTGAGTACTAAATATGGAAGGCATGCAGTTCATATTTTAGCAGATTTTATCATTTAAAACTTTCTGGTTATCTAGATCTGCAAAACCATAAAAGAAAGCAATGCTTGTTATCAGGTTGTTGTCAATGTTAAATAACGAAAGAGAAACATGACTTAAGCAGATTTTCCCAAACTGTGAGTCACAAACCCCAGTGGGTAACAAGCTAAAACTTTGGAGTCATAAGTTAGAGCTTCAACCGTGTACTAAAAGCAATGTGGTCCATTTAAATCAGAGTTATTTTTAAGAGGCTGTAGACTGGGCAACCAAACCATGAGGCCTGTATGTTGTGCTGAGAGTGTTTGTGGAGAAATAGGTGGTGCTTTAACTTAAGAACTCTGTGAAGTAAAAGCCCCTGCCTCCCCCCGTTGCCGAAGGGCCCTCCCTACTCTTACATTTCTCACCTCACCCTGACTCAACCACACACCTCTGCTCCAACCCAAATTTCCCACACAACCCCTTCTTGTTCTACAGGTTGAGGTTTGGGCTATGGTTATTGTTGAGCCTCATAGGGCCAGAACAGGACAAAGTTTGGGAAGTACTGATTTAATGTGTAATGTTTTTACTATCTGACCATTCTTCATGTAGCACAGAACTCTTACAACTCCTGAATACCGGATTGTATGCAGCACTGAAGAATCAAAGCATTGTTAATGGCCAGTATATTCCAGTTTAACTTGTTAATACTCATCTCAAAGTTAAGTAGTGGTAAGTATTGTGGACAGAATAGCTGAAAGATTGTAGAATGTGTTTTCCAAGAGCTCAGAGTCCTGTGGACTTATTTTAATAAGGGATCTCTAAAGTTTTGGAGTAGATCTGTAGCTCAGGTTGTGGGTGTTGAGGTTGGTTGGCTCGCCGAGCTGGTTTGTTGTTTCGCAGACGTTTTGTTACCACGCTTGGTAACATCCTCAGTGCAGCCTCTGATGAAGCGTCGGTTTGTTTTCCCACCTGGTTTTTAAACTCTGGGGTCCATTGAGATGGATTGCCTCACTTCCAGTTTTCCTTCATCATGGGGGACAGGCTGGGCAGAGACAAGCACGAGAATTCCTGGAAGCATGGCAGTCCACGAAGCATGCTATTAATAAACACATTGGACTCGACCCCATATACATTCCACTACGAAGGAAAACCGGAAGTGAGGCAATCCATCTCAACGGACCCCAGAGTTTAAAAACCAGGTGGGAAAACACACCGACGCTTCATCGGAGGCTGCACTGAGGATGTTACCAAGTATGGTAACGAAACGTCTGCAAAACAACGAACCAGCTCGGTGAGCCAACCAACCTTAATAAGGGATTGATGGGAAGCAGCACACTGTCTAAATAGTGCAAAAATATTCAGTGAAATCAATTCATAAATAGGCATAAAAACCAAATTAACTGCGGATGCTGTAAATCAGGAACAAAAACAAAGTTGCTGGAAAAGCTCAGCAGGTCTGGCAGCATCTGTGAAGGTAAAAACAGAGTTAACGTTTTGGGTTCGGTGACCCTTTCTCAGAACATAAATAGGCATGTTTGATGAGGCAAAACATTACAGTTTCACAACGAGGCACACCTGCAGTATTCAAACAGAATGGGACATCGAGAGAGTGTAAACACGTACCCAGAATCATAAAATAAGGTGAAAGAGAGTGTGTGTATATGAGAAAGAGAGAGAGAGAGAGAGAGAGCTGATCCTAGAGGCTCAGAACAGCATGAGATGGAGTGTGAGAGTGTGGACCTAAGCCTTAAAGCAACATAAGTGAGCACTTGGAACAGGATCATGAAACAGCACAAAAGGGATTGCAAGAACATGGCTCAGACAGCAGACCAATCACAAACTGAGAAAGATCAAAGGAATGTATCACAGTAAAACAGGTAAATGATTGGTTCCAAAGCAGAAATTGCTAGAGAAATTCAGCAGATCTGGCAGCATTTGTGGAGAGAAAACAAAGTTAATGTTTTGAGTTTAGTGACCCATCTTCAGTATAGATTGGTTGGTGTGTATTTTTCTCACTTATATTTTAGAAAATATGTAATTTATAAATTAGTGCATAATAAAGGAAGCAGAGGAGTAGGGGATAATATTGTCAGAGGAATAAATATGCCAAGAGTGAGAGTTAGGAAGGCTGCATTGTCTGCCTAATACCAGAGTGTGGGACATCTGATCTGGGCTGGATGGGAACTGGCAGTGGAAGGGAAAGAACTGGCAGTCACTGTCCATGTAGGCACCAATTATAAAGGAAGGGCCTTGAAGATAATTTGCTTCAGGAGCATGAGCAGCTGGTGACAAAATTAAAGCAAAACCTCAAAGGTTTAGTGCCTAAACCACAAGAAAATTGGCAGAAGGTAAACAAAATTAAAGATTTAAATTTCAAAGATTGGTGTTGGAGAAATGGGTTACAATGCATGAAGCACTGGCGCCAGAGTGGGGAAAAGAAGCTTTACCATTGGGATGGTTTTCACCTAACGTATGTTGGGACCAGTGTTCTGGCACATTTAATTACCAGGGTGGTAGAAAGGACTATAAAGGATTGAGTGAGGGAAGGTGTGGTAAATTAAAGAGATAGGACAATGCAAGGAAGGAAAGTAGCAATAAGGGAAATAATAAACGCAATGCATTGGGAAGGAGTGGAGCGTAAAGACCTAACAGTGTGCTAGCTGGTAAGGCTAGAAGTAGTGAAAATAATAAAAAGACAATTCATTCGAACAAGGAACAAGAATAGCCAATCAGTCTTTCGAGTGTGCTCCAGCATTCAATAAGATCATGGCTGATCTGGTTTTTAAATTGAACTGTACGTTCCTGCTTATCCTTGATAATCTTTCGTCCCTTTGGTAATTAAAAATCTTTTTACTTCTGCCTTAAACATATTTAACGATTCTGTATCCACTGTCTTTTTAGGAAGGGATTTTCGAAAACTCAACGCTCTGAGAGAAATTGTTTTCCTTATCTCTGTTTTAAACGGGTGACCCCTTATTTTTAAACTTTGATCCCTAGCTCTAGATTATTCCACATTAGGAAACATCCTTTCCACATCCACTCAGTCAGGTTCCCTCGGGATCTTAAATGTTTCAATTAAGTCACCTCTGACTGTTCTAAACTCCAGAGGATACAGGTCTAGCCTGTCTAGCCTTTCCTTATAAGGCATTCCAGATATTAGTGTAATAGACTTTCGCTGAACTGCTTTACGCATTAAGATCCTTCCATAACTCTGGTAACCAGTACTGCACACAGTACTCCAGATGTGGTCTCACCAATGCCCTGTTTATGTGAAGCATAACCTCCCTACACTTTCATTTCTTTCCCCCCACAATAAAATGCAACATTCTAAACAACAAACACAAAGACATCTGTAGATGCTGCCAGACTTGCTAAGTTTCTTCAGAATTCTGTTTTTATTTCAGATTTGCAGCATCTGCAGTATTTTGATAGCATTCTATTAGTTTCCCTGATTGCTTGCTGTACCTGCACACTCACTTTCTATGATTTATGCCCTAGAACATCTCGATCATTTTGCATCTCAGAACTCTGGAACTTCTCACCATTTAGATAATAGACGTTTTTATTCTTTCTGTCAAAATGGACAATTTCACACTTAGCCATATTATACTCCATTTGCCAGATCTTTTCCCATTTGCTTCACCTTTCTGTATCTCTTCATAGGCTCCTTCTGCCCTGTTCACAACTTACTTTCCTACCTATCTTTGAGTCATCAGCAAACTTTGCTACCAGAACTTTTCTTCCTTCTTCCTAATCATGATACAAAATGTAAAGAGTTGAGCCTGCAGCACCGACTGCTGTGGCACACAACACATGACATCCTGCCAGCCTGGAAAAGACCCATTTATCCCTGCTCTGTGAATCCTGTTAACCAGACAGTGTTCTATCCATTCCAAATCGTTACCTTCCGCACCGTGAGTTCTTATTTTCCAAAACAGCCTTCGATGTAGCACCTTATCCAATGCCTTCTGGAAATCTAGTACAATACCTCTACTGGTTCTGATTTATCCACAGCACTGGTTACTTCTTCAAAGAACTCCAATAGATTAATTAAACACTATTTCCCTTTGACAAAACCACATTGGCTGTGTTTGATTATCTTGAACTCATCCAAGTGCCTTGTTATAAACCTTTATTAATAGCTTTTAATATTTTCCCTATGACAGATCACCTCTGCCAAATTTCCTCTCAGTGTCCTTTGCTCCAAACAGCATAACATTAATTTTTCCAACCTAGCCTTGTATCATTCCCATTCCTGGATCTTAACCCTAACCCTGCCATCCTGAAAAAGACCCATTTATTCCTACTCTGCATCTTGTTAGCCCAGCCAGTCTTCTACTGCAACACAAAATGTCCTGCACCTGAATGGATGTATCATTCATAACAAAATGTATTGTCAGTTTAAATGGAAATAAATAAATATGGTCAGATAGTAATTGCAGGGATACAGTTGAAAGGTGACACATATTGAATATTGAAGGGTGTATGACATTTTGGAAGGACAGGCAACAATGAAACATGGTTGGTAGCTCTGTTAATTAAGGATGACATTAGTACAATGGAGAGCAATGATCTTATTTTTAAGATCAGGATGTAGCATGCATTTGCATAAACTTAAGAAATCAGGAAGTTGGAAAGTGATTGTAGTAGCTGACCAACACCCCTAATAATAACTATACTGTGGGATGAGGTACACAATAATGGTGGTTTGTGAGAGAGAGGTACAACAATAATCATGACTGATTTTAACTATATGTAGATTGAACAAATTAGATTAGAAAAAAGTAGCTGAAAGATTAGCTCATTGACTGTTTTTGGTCCTGTATCTTAAAGCAGCACATTCCAGAGCCAACCAGAGAGCTGATTATTCTAGATCTGGTAATGTGCAACAAGACAGGATTGATTAATGACCTGATTAATTAATAAAGGTGCCCCTAGGTACCAGTGATCATAAC